GATGGGATCGTAGACGCGGAACAGGGCGGTCCATGACGCGACTCGGTGGAGTCTTCGACCCGTGCTGCCGCGAGAGAATAGCCCTCGGGATGTTCACTCTTCCAAATATAGCCCCAAGCTATCACTTGGGATCCACCCGGTGACGGGGACTCCAGTGAGTGAAGCCCACGACGACAGAACCACACGAAAGGTGAGAAGAGCCGCAGTCACAGGCTGATCTGACCTGAGCAGACCGAAATTATCGCCGCGTGAAGCAAGCAGAGCTGGTTATTCACGCAGTGAGGTCGATAACGCCTTCAAATTTCGGGTGGGCCCAAAGACATAAAGACGGAGCACTAAAAGCAAAAAATGAAGCTTCTAGAGCTTCTTTTCAATCACCTCTACTATTGGCTAGAGGATTGGCGGCGAAATCGGGACAAGTTTGAATTCAAATGTAGGGCGGGAACTAATAAATAAAATTGCGGAAACAAAGTATTTTAGGTTGATTTTTGCCCAAATTCAGGTACACACTCATATTTTATTAACTTTAGGTTAGTTTCGGTCCGTCGTCGACCGACTGATTTCATTTGGGAGTAACGTAGATCTAGAACTGTAACGGCCTGTTTGAACCTGCAGAACCACCATAAGCAGAAGAAAAACTAACTTTATCTGAGATTACTGCCTGTTACCGAGCAAAAGTAGGTGTAATATATTAGGACGCAGACCGAACTTTCTTAATATAATCGTTTTAAGCATTTAAAACACGTTTAGAAGAAGAAATAAGGAAAAATCAAGAGGACAAGTTCAAATCAAATTTCCGTTTGCCGCCATGGATTCCCGCGCTCATTTACACACTCACACAAACGCGCAGCGCCGAACCTAGCTTCACTTTTTCCCCGTGCTTTTAGATACGAGCACTCCGTCTTTATGTCTTTGGGTGGGCCACGGAGGTTACAGCTGGCGGTGGCGAGCCGCTATAGATTAACCTAACTCGAGAATGACCTCTCACGACAGGAGAGCGGCTGTTGGGAGGCTTCTTGGAGGACGGCTTCCAAACAGTAGGAGTCTGATAAGTGGGAGCGGTCTTCCTAGACGCTGTCACCAGGCAGCAGAGCGACAGGTGTATAACGTTTCGATGACAATGAACAGTTGTCAGGTGCAGCAGTGGAGAGTTGCCACCAAAATCAGACGACGGGCGAGCATGGCGGAACGGTCCAGAACCGGTACGCGGGCGCTATCTAGCGGTGGGCGGAGACAACGCCGCGAGGTGGGCCGCGCGGGTTGTGAGGGGAGCGCCGCCGCGGGGATAGGCGCGCGGCCGCGGGTGTAGGAGCGCAGCGCAGGTTGAGCCCGGCTGGATGGCGGTCGAAACAGACAAAAATAGTTTTGACACGTTCGGCGCTAATATTTCGAAAACCGGCGCGGAATCCGGAAATTTAGAGATTTTCATAGGAAAACTGGGGGGTTTTTTTTTACCGCGCGCCAGAAAAAATTCCGCGCGCGGAAGAAAAAGGTCTTGACACGAACAGCGTTTCATAATGTGCTTCTCTTGGGGGTCTAGGGATTCAACAGAAACACTGTCAATATCATCTAGTCTTGCGGCGTGGTTACTAGTGGTCTCATTACATTATCTCCTTCATTCCTCTTGCCAACACCATCATCGTCATGATCTGAACAAACATCACTGATGTTGGTAGGTGAATTCTCGCTCGGTGAGGGTGGAGACTTCGGAACGCACATTTTTTATTTCAGTGGTTAAGTTGAATTTCAGACTTTGCTTATCATCAGAGGGATTATCGGGAGAAATAATATTCTCACCTGACAAGGGGACCTCGATGTCATTAGTGGTGCTCTCATTAATTGTGGTGTTGAGCTTCACCGCAGTACTCTCATTTATTTCATAGGGTTCACTCTGTTACCTACTTCATCATCAGTGCTACCTAGCGAATAGCAACTTTGAAGTGACTTGAGGTTTCGCTTGACACACGTTTTAATAGGTATCCTGGGAGACATGTGAGAGCGGGAGAGCAAGCTCTGCGCAAAGCCTTACATAACTTCGTGATTGTTGGATAGATCGATCATTTCTGAGGCTGTCAGGTCACACTTGGTATGTGCTTCTCTGACACTAGGGACATCGCAAATATAAGATTTTGATGACGACAATGATAGGTGTTGGGCAAACCTATGGAACTTAGGCTTACGATCAATGATGGTTCATAATTCTGTTACATACGAAAAGATAAAAACTCGCCAAGCCAACTTAAACTGAAGTCAGAAATCCAGTCAAATACTATGACTGAAGTAATTAGGTAACTCAGTTCACATCATTAGAAATAAAAAAAATTTGTTCCTTATGATCGATTCAATATTATGATGATGTGATAGGGAGTGCGCGTCTTAGCGTCGATCATTTTTGATATTTATTTCAGAACAAGAGACGGTGATTTTTTTCTCTGTACTTCAAATTTTTACGTCAAAGTTATCGTTAAATCATCACTGATATTGAATCATTCATACAATAAAACATCCATAACAATTAATGGGCTTAATCCTCATGTAGAAACATACGGTAATAAAAAACGTGATTCCCCTTTAGATGGTGAAAGCTTACCACCGATGATCAGTAAGTCTGTTTTTACCTTTGTTACTAACACCGGAGCTACGCTATTGGTCGTGAGGACGGAGATGAATTTTTCCGGTGTGATATCGGCTAATTTGTTCGAGACTGATGTTGCGACTCCTGCGTTATTGATCAGCAGAGTCAACCCTTTATTTCCCACAATTTCGGCAACTTCAGTTGCAAAGTGGTCAAATGTTTCAAACTGGTTCACGTCTGAAACAAAAAAATGATTTGCGGGTGTGATTTTCTGTGTATCCCAATTTTTCTCGGGAGGAAACTACGCATCCTCGAATCCAAAATTGACGTTCTTCCAGCCAGCGTGGGTCATTTTCATTGTTCCTTTTTTTAAAATTGATTGTGAAGGAACTCCATTTTATGACGAGTTTTTATTTCGTATTCTCCAAATTACGGTTCTGTTTTCTATGAACCTAGTTTCTGTTTTCTCACTGGTCTACCTGTTAGCTAGACGCTAGACACAACATTCCTGGTCATGATGACTGGGACGTTGCTAATTTTTTTATTTTTTCTCACAGTCTGGAGAGAATCGGAATACGGGAGGAAGGGGGGGGGGGTCGGGCGATCAGCAGTGATATATGCAGCGTCGAAAATCAGGACCCGCCTGGAACTTTCATCATTGAACACTGTCACTTCGAAATGGTTTCAATGTTCACCTTCTGACCCACTTGCCACGGATCCTACATCGACTTTGCATATAGCTCCACATGAAACTGAATGAGGGGGAAAGAGAGAGGGGGGAGAGCAAGAGGTCAGTTAGGATCCATAGATTAGTTTTTCTTGAACTATTTTTTTATTTATGGGGTGATTTTGATGGGCCCAAACAAGAAGTTCAACCGATTTTCATGAAATTTTGATGAGAATGCATTTCACTTCGTTCTATAATTATCCTTAACCTGGCTTGTAATCCATTGGGCACTTCGCTGTAGATTACCGCAACGCGATACCCAAGTTCCTTCATTTCGTCGAGTATGCAATCTGATCTCCGGGGAGTTCAAATAGTTGCTTAAAGTCAAAGCGCACTTTGATCCGCAAACCTCAATGAAAACGGAAAAGAGGGTACTCGTGCGTTTAAAGATGAATGTATATCTGTTTGGTTCTTGTGACGCGGTCACATAACGAATTTACTCACACATTCCGAATGATACTTTCCCCTTTTGAATGGTCAATCGTGTGATTTGAGGTCATTAAGGACCCCAATGATTCTTCGTAATTCCGATGTGGACCAACAAACTACGATCTTTTACCTACAATACATTGCTGCATTGAGAAGGCTCATTTTCATACTTATTATACTTCGCTCCTCAAGAGGAAGGGAGAAAATATAAAATGAAAAGTGATTATTAATCTAAGGTGAATTACTCGTAGACTTCCTACTTAAAATATCGGTCAGTGGGTCAGAGAACACACCTTCGTGACCCGTCAATTCATTACAACTCCCAGTTCATTAATCTCCAAAATGCGACTTAAGGTAAATCTGTTGATCTCGATCCGATTATAGCAATTCAAAAAACATAACGTAAGAAAGAACAAGGATGATAAAAAGTATATACCGTCTTACCTAGTTTTAGGATGTGTATTTTTGAACTTGAATTTTTCAATTCTTGCAAAGCCTGAAAAATTAATATGTGATCAAGATACTGCCGAACGAATAACATCCCTCTTTAGGGAAATAAAATAGAATGAAACATGTAAATTTTTATGTGAATCGCCATGCAATATGAAATAGCGCCACTGGTTTTCTCTCAAATTAACTTTCAAGCTAAGGATATCTCTTCTGAATAAGAGCGTAGGGGCACTCTGATTTCATGTCACACTATATTTCCACATCCAGTCAATTAACAGGGTTGCCATTTCATGTCGGGATTCCTAGTGTCAATATGGTGGATCATTTAGCCTGCAACCATTACAACCCTGCCGATGGAGTCAGCTCTATCGAAACATGGGGATTCTAACTGGCTATGGAGGTAGACTTCCACGTACGGTCGGGATACTCCTACATTATTAGGGTCTAAATTTTAAGTGCTTATTTTTGAGTTGAATTTTAAGCAGAAACAAAACCAGTGGCTTTTCTGTGTCTCTCCAATTTTTTCATTAGATAATACAGCTAAATCGCAAAAGTAAGAAACTCATTAGTTCATTAGTACACTTCCTCGCCCCATTTTCAATGAGAGTCGCAGAACATTTTTCCTCTAAGTTCAGCACTTTCGTGAGTGTTGAGCGCTATCAATTTACAGGAACTTCCGTTTATTTAAAGCTCCTTCCATAGCTTTTCCAGGCTATGTACTCCTTGCCATTCTATCACCTCACAATTCTACTTTTTCGTCCTGACATATTAATCTCCAAATTCGCCGACCTTTTTATAGACCGTACTGAAAGAAAAAGTATGGTTTCGGGTACAGTGATGTGAGTGTGGTAATCAGCAACATACTTCATGGTAGCAAATACCGTAACTCTAATTGCATTCACCAGAAGTAGGTATAGTAAGTACTGCCATATGTCATGTCATCGCTACTACAGTTTCACTGTAGCAAAAATCAGATAGAATTTACCATACTTCTAGTATTTTGCTATCCTTTTTTTCAGTGCGACCTCCTAAAACATATTCCTTCATACTTCCTTCAACTTGTAAGCGCATACACCGAAAAAAAAGTGCTCAGCATAACAAGTCTTGAATTTGCCGCCACGATTTTTTTTCTCTCTCTTTACCTGGCTTGTACCTCTCTAGGAATGAGGAAAATATGCTTTGATTAAGCCCAAAAATTACCTTAAATTAACCCTTGATTAAGAAAAGTGTTTCCCGACCGAAAATTTAAAAAAAAATTTGTCCAGTTTTTCTTTTCGCTGCCTTTTTAATTTTGGGATTCTTTATCCCCCTTATCCGAAGACATCAATGTGAGCTTTCTCCGGTAGTAAATCAGCAAACTCTGGTGGCTAACTAAACGCTCAAAATAAATTGTACTTACATTGGCGTTCTCTGGAGATCGGCAAGCTGCAACGATTATACGACATTGGACTGAGCTTTCACTAAGAAACTGTCTCACAAACTCCAAACCAATTCCACGGCTAGCACCGGTGATGAGCACCGAATATATTTCAGTCATCGCTTGAACGTATCTAGTTCAAGATAAACTGAAAGGTATAAACATTTTACACATATTTGGACAGTGCGTGAGTCGAAAACCACAGATTCTTACGTTATGGTGCCTCGAAAGTATATGTTCTTTTCTTGTTTTCATTATTTTGTTTTTATTTACTGCTATCAGACGAGGAACAGTTTTCGCGATATATTGGATTTGATGGTGAGTTGAAGTAGGTCAAAATGCGGATTGTCTACAGAATTCACAATATTTTGTTCCAATGGACCACTAGACAAGGTAGGAATTTAAGTATTCCGATACATGTTTCTTAACCAAAATTTCACGTAGAACACGATTAGCGCAACGAAAATGACTGAAACCAACTCCTAACAAAGATATTAACGTTTTTATTTCACATTGGTTACAAGGAATTTGAACTGCCCGCTCACACGAAGCTCAAACCTCTACGTGAGTCAAATCGCGCACTACAACGGTTTCAGCAATCCTCTCAATCGAGCAATGTTCATTTCCCATCATGTGTTGTTTAAACTGTAAGCAATTTGCTATAGCTGAGCCAAAGCGTCTAGATTGAGGTTGCCAGATTTTTATATGGCAGAGACTGTCATGATAAACGTTTAGCGCGCGATGTGAATCACGTAGAGCATTGAGTTTGCATGAGCGCGTGGTTTAAATTCACGCATCAAGAATTATTGAATATCTTCGTAAGGAGTTGATTTCGGTAATTTTCGTTGTGCGCATCGTGTTTTACGTAAAATTTGGAATCAAAAGCATGTATCAGAATGCTGAAATTCATACCTTGTCTAGTGGTCCATTGGGGCTTTAAAGGAATAAGTATCCTTCATATCGTCATCCTGAAAAGTCTTCAAATACAGCGCAACATAATTTTAAACAAAAAAGAAATATTTAAATTCAAACATGCTTGTCTTAAGATCGCCATCGTTTGTGTAAATCAACTGTACACTTTTATTATGTTGTTTTAAATTTGAACTTTTAAACAACGAAATGCCGGTGTTTGAATTTCATGGCTTTACGCTCAAAATTATTTTGTATCAGACTATGCACATTTAATCTTAAGGAAGATCTCTGACCTATTAATGCACTAGTCATCCAACGTGTTATTATTGGCCCCATGAAAAGTAAAATATTTTGTTCCGCAGGAGGCACCGATCGATCAAAATGAAATGGAAATGAGCGACAGAGAAATGTATCAATAGTAATTGTAATTACCTACAGTTAAAAAGTTGGTTCGAGGCGTTTCACCCTCTAAAATGGGACCAAGCAAATCATGAATTGGCACGTTTAGTGTCAGACGCACCACCATGGATGGTGAATACCTTCACCCAGATTATAAAATCATTTTTGTTCTCTAAAATCGAATTGACTCGAATCATTTTTTGTCATACATATTTTAGGACATTCTTAAACGACACATCGAACAAACTTGTGGAAAATTTGCATGACCGTCTCGTATTTTTCAACTTTTAAATTTTGGTTTTGAACAAAATAATCATATGGGATGATGTTATTTTACGGTACTAGTGTATCAATGACGTTTGAGAGGAAGCACCGTATCTCAATCATTTTAGAAAATACTTATCGGAGGAGTGTGCTAAGAGATAGTAGATCAGGAGCTCTCTATGTATAAATTACCGATCATTGACGTGATCGTCACACCGAAAAACGGAATTGTGGTCTTCCCCTCTCTTCCTCATCACTGACCTGTCACGTTTGCTGGCACACACCCCCCCCCCCCCCNGAAAAAAAAATATACATCATGTTTTTTAAACTCCGCTTTAGCATTTGAACAATGACATTTTTGGCGAATACAAGTGTTAAGTCATAAAACATTGAGAAATGTCTAAAGAATCGTCAATTATTGCTCGTGCTTTTTTTTTTCGTTTTTTTTTTTTGCTTGACGTAACACAATATGATTCTACAACCCTCCCTCCTCCCTTGTTACGCACTCCACGCACTAGACCAGAGCTCCCACTGGAAAAAAGCACATTGAATCTACAGTCCAGACTCTTAAAAACATCGACAAGAAAAAATACTCTTGATTCAATCAGATTTAAACTTAAATCAAGAACCAAGCCTCTTAATTCGAGCGGATTTCCTTTTGATTTAAGCTTAAATCCGATTGAATCAAGAGTCCTTTTTCTTGTCAATGTTTTAAGAGTCTGGACTCAAGATACAAGGTGTTTTTTTTTCCAGTGCCCCTTCCCTCAAAGGCGTAACGCAATTTTTGAAAGATCACTTAGGTTGAAGATCAAAGAGAGGGAATAGCTATATTGTTCCTTCATAGGTGAATAAAAAGGCAGATAGATGGGTTAAAAGGGCCTTACGCGGGGAAAAGAGCAGATCAAAAATCAGAGGAGGTGAACGTAGATGGAGGACCGCCTCATATAATGTGGATTCTTTTCAGTTTTGAATGACAGGTAGGAGTAACAAATAAAAACTTACTGATTTATGGAAGCGGTCAATCCTCTCTGACAGCAGCAAAAAATTACATTCCGGGAACATGAGTCTAAATACAGTTGCATCTAAGATTCAATGAAGCGGCTGGAAACTTATGTGAGGTGAACATCAAGTGGTTTATCAGTGAGCGCGCGTAAAACTTACGAATACTCAGCTTGTGCAGAAAATTAATCGTATTTAAATACATCGCGCTGAATGAAGCTGATGGTCTTTATTTTTTTTTACAAATTTAATTTTGAAGTTCAAACCGTACTATCAATGATTTAAAAGGAACATTTCGTGTTTTACATTCTAATTAACGTTTTTTCAGAATTTCAAAAGAGAGTGTTTCGTGTGTTTATTAGATTGCTGCACTTAAAAAAATATGTAATTTTTATAAATAGTAGACAGCGCGACAATGCACTTACTCTCAAGGGTCTCTGTTAATATCTCTCCCAGGATTGAAATCGATGTGAGGAGTTTCGTATCTTCGTTTAAATAAATTGAATCAATACACTCTACAATCGAGGTCAACATACCTCGGAGGTCAATAAACCTCGTACCTTCGTAAAATGAAAACGGCGAACTTGTGAAAGAAAAAACTCGAGAAATGTTTCTTAATACAAAAGGTATATTATTTAGATAGACATATTATATTTAAATTCATAACTAGCACCGAAATGCTTTGAGTTAAGTAGCGCATGTCAAAGCTTCTCTTTTCTCAACTAACCTAATCTGAAATCGTTTACTTTGGTCCACAGACTCAAGAAGGAACTGAAGAGTTATAGGAGCGATAATATCCTTAACCCAAAAATCGCGTCTTAAGAAATTTTTCAATTTTGACTCCTTTTTCCTCCCTTGAATATACGAGACAAGTGTTTTCTTGTCAAGAATGATCAAATTTGTTTTAATAAAAATACACCCATTCGTGAAATAAACATAAAATTTTTCGGAATGCAAGGCTTTTATTCATTTTTCTTCATCCCAAGAGATTTATGTTTATTTTAGCCTTTTGTCGGAAATGATAATGTGCGACAATTCAAAGAGAGTTGGGATTGTGAGAGTTCCATTTTTTATCCGATTGCAAGATTGCTTTTAAAATTTCCAAGGAAACACACAGATTCCTAGATATCCTTTCACCATCACCAAAACTGAAACCCCTGATGTTTCAAATTTTTACAATTTTACAATCCCTTCGATGGCAGGCGGAGGGAGCACATTACAAAGGTTTTCGCTTTTTACTGGTTGCAAGAAAGTTTTTCTGCTCACAGGTAACCTGTATCCAAGAAATAGTGTTTGTCTGAACTTAAAACGGCAAAATTTCTCCAGTGTATTCAGGAAATCCTTCTTTATTTTTTCCGGTAAGCTGAAGCATAACTGAAATCATTCCAGTCACGCTAGTAGCAGTGTCAATTTCTGATGGAGGCCCACCGGGACATGCGAGCAGATCAGTGTCAACAACGCCTGGGTGAAAACTTTCCACCAGAATTCCATCTTTTTCAAATTCGATGGCCATTGTTTGGGTGCTCATGTTCAATGCAGCCTAAAAACAGGCGAAAAGAATCGATTTCAATGAGAATGAAACGCAAACGCGTGAAGACTGCAACTTCAGTTTAAGATCAACCGATTTCCAGAGACTAATATTCAGTGAGACTTAGTCTTCTTGTCTTGTTCTCTTTTTTTTTCAACACCTGTCGGCCGCATACAATTCTTAGATTTACCTATGTATTACGTCTCCTGATACCTCATTATTAATTTTTGATAGTGGCGAAGCGTGAATGATCAATTATCGATTTTTCCCTATTGAACCTATGTTGAAAAATCGATTATTGTGGTGTTCGTTACAAACACCTTGTATATCGATCCTTTTCCATAGGTTTAAATGCACTCAAAAAAGAAGTATGGGAAGAGTGACTTACCGGCCGAGTTATGGATCATTGGAGATATGGAATATAGTTCGGGGAGACATAAATATAGGTTCACGACCAATAAAGTATGGCCCAGAAAGCCATACTGTAGACGGTAAGTCACTTAGGTAAGAAATTATGGATCTCCGAGCCATTTTTTATGGGTCTCAGAGTCATACCTTTTTTTGAGTGTGGCAGATCAATCGATATATCGCAAAGAACGCCACGGCACTGATGTTCAATACTAGCGAAATTTATTTAAGTTTAACCATTCTGTCGTACCAACGTTATGATGTGTCCCGTGCTTGACTTGACTGAGAAAATGAACATGACTTATCAGATTTCAGTCAAGTAATATATACTTGGTTGTATCATGATTCCAACGATCTTGAATGCTGCAATGAGGGGATCAACCATGAATAATTGGACGTGTTCATGCTAAAAGGAACTATGTTACATGCAATCCCTATGCACAAAGTTCCTTTTAGTATAAATAAGTTCAATTATTGAGAATATCAGAGAAAAAGTCCTAGTCAAAATTAATATTTCTCTTGTCATTTTCATCACGCATAACCATATGGTGTAAACTTTAGGATACCTTTATATTTTGGCAGTTTAATTTTTGCGAATTTAAGTAATATCTTGCGATTGAACTCCATCGGTCAAAGCAACTCGATAAAGCACCATTAATATTTCAACTTATTAGAACCCTTTCGTTCCTCTTACCTTGCTCTCTCTATAACACCATAATGCCGGACCTTTCCGTCGCTTGATGGATCCTCCAATTGAACTTATATTTATAACAGCTGCTCTACTGACGCTCAGCCCTAGAACAAAAACCATTCATAAGCGTAAATTCTCGTGAGCATTTTTGTCTGCCGCTCACTCACCAAAGTACAATCATTCTAAGATAATTTAAAATAAATTACAAATCATCTTTAGAATACCTATCTTAGAGAAATACCTATTGTTCTACAATCGTGAAGTACATCGTAAAAAGTATTTGACAGCCGTTGTCTTTCATGAAGGAACTCAGTTCAAAATTGTCCCGAACTAGAGTCATCACTTCACCTAGCCGACTCAGATATAGAATCAATTGTGGCTCGGGGGTATCATTAAAGGGTATAATAAAATACACACCTTTAGTCTCCTTCGAATTTTTCTCAGCAGAGAGTTTTAAAAGTGGGTAGAGGGCCTGAAAGAAAACATAAAAACAAATAACATTTGTGAATCAAAGTATATAAAAGAAGGCTGTGATAATCATTTAATAAAAAAAAAATGATTTTTTGTACTCATATTCCTATGATTAATAAATCGGTAATTATTTTATGAGTGTCAACATAAATTCGCAGCTATGCGATAACATCTTAATTTAAATCTTAACGGTGAATTTTGTTGTAAAGTTCGGTTTTTTTTCGAGCTGACGATGCATACTTTAATATTCAAAATTAATTGCCAATCGCACGGGTAAAAATTCCAGTAAAAACAACTTACTCGTCTTTACCTGAAATATCTTTAGTCTTTTGTCCTTTTTGTGGAGGAAAAATTTAAAAGTTGAATGCTAGTTTATAATAACTGGCTAATAACTGGGAAAAAAAATAAATGAGAGCCTAAGTGAAAATCGTCATAAGGCATAATATTGTATTGTGCACGCAAGTCATCACGTAAGCCTTTTCCCTCTATTATTTGTGATTGCTTGGCGTTTCAAATTATCATACAACGAGATTATCCATCAGGAAGTGTCCAAAGTTGAATCACTCCGTACCTTTGTCAGCATCACTGGAGCGACGGTATTTGTTGTCAAAATCGAAATGAATTTTTCCGGCGTGACATCTTCCAACGTATCAGAAAATGGGACACAAATTGCAGCATTATTGATGAGTAGTGTCAATCCTTTGTCCTTTACAATTGTCTTAACCTCTTCCACAACTTTATCGTAAGCTTCGAAGTGATCCACGTCTGAAACGATAACAAGACTTGCACAGGTGAAGAGATAGGTAATCTCACCGAACTGCCCACAAAATAGTCAGTCTTCTCTAAAAATACATATCTATTAACGTCATTTCATTTTTACATTCGTTCTCCTTCTTTTTCATGCACATACCAAGTAATTCTAAACCGATAGAACAGAACTCATTATTATATCCTAGAGTGCACTGGTAAAAAAAAGTCGCTTGGATCTAAAGTCCAGACTCTTGAAAACAACAACAAGAAAAAATACTTTTGAATTAATCGGATTTTTTCTTGAATTAGAAGGAAATCCGCTTAAATTAAGAGGCTTGGTTCTCGATCTAAGCAAAAATCCGATTGAATCAAGAGTAGTTTTTCTTGTCAACGTTTTCAAGACTCTGTACTCAAGATCCAAGCGACTTTTTTTCCAGTGTGTGTAATATCACCTGCTTCTATGGGCGTAGATCTCTATAATTATGGTAGAGGAGAATTCAAAGTGCCTCGACTCACCTGCACTGAAAAGAAACTCCGGCCACGGAAGCCGTATTTACGGGCTATATATACATATCGTCCGCGTTCCGGGTTCAGAGGCCGACAGTTCCAGGCGTAGCAGCCGGAGCAGTCGAAGCCATGCGGCTGCAGCACCCAGAATTTTCGGCTTCTGAGCCCAGAGCTGATGGTATGTCTGTGTAGCCCTTAACTTTTTTTTTCAGTCTGGAGACGAGTTTCCATCTCACTCAAGCAGCAAGCATCTTTCTAAATTATTATGCAGATGCATAAGAGAGCCTGGCCCTTAGTTTTTTTTAAAAGTTGTGTGCTTTGACAAGGGAGAAAATTAAAAGGAAAATCATTCATAAATTATACTACAGTTGTCTGTGTTTTCTCAAATTTGAAAAATTTTTCCCGATCTAGTATTTTCATTTTATAAAAATTCGTCCGTAATATTCAGCAATGATATTGAATGAGATGAACAAAGGATATTAAAATGCAGCTCCTACTCACCCAATTTTAGAATATGAACCTTTTTATCCGATTTTTTCAGCTCCTGTAGTGCCTAAATGGAGTGTGAAAATTCGAAAATCCCATGCATTACTTGATAATCGTGAAAAAAACATTGATGAGCATACGTGTATAAGTATCAAAATTCAAAACAAACTTAGTTTCAGTTGAGTTCTACCTTTTCATCTGCTTACGCTATAACAGCAAACAGTGGCAGTCACTGAGAGGCTATAGTATCAACGTGAACTAATGAAAAAATGTGAACTCGTCTAAAACGGGGTCAATGGACCTTTGCAACTCGACATCGTCTCTATTTTCTGTTTTAATTGCAAGAGGGTTTTGAAGAAATTCGGAGATAGACCCCTCTAATTAGTAGCACAATTTGAGCGGTCAATTTGGATCGTATTCAACAGATCGCACAATTATTTTTTTTAAATAGTGCAATTTTTTCCTGGCTTCAAATAAATACTGGACAGAATCTGTATATGAGAAAGTATACGATCCTTTTCCTTCAAAATTAACAATTTGTCCGCAGAAAAGCAAAAACTAGTTGCTATCCAGGCATCCTTACAAGTGAAGATGAAGATGCACGATTTTTACAACACTGTAATCTTGTTAGTTCTCTTCTGCTAAATGGGACCCTAAAGTCAATTGGTTTGGTTGTGGAAGATCAAGATCGATGTTTTATGTTCTTAGGATTCCAAAGTTGTATTTTTAAATGATCTTCGTTCACATGTAAATTTGGGTGAAAAAAAAAGAGAAAAAAAGCTGTGAGCAATGAAAATTGTTCAAAACGTATTAAGACAAAGTGTTCCTCTGAGTTTCTCTCTCTTGCTTATTTCATTTCGGTTTTATGAAATTTTAACGGTCACTCAAAGACACGATTAGGTTGTACCATGAATTTTCAATGAACTGATGATGGTTGTGTTGATGTTCCTGAATACTATATGAAGTTTAAAGTGTATAATCTCATTGAATCGTGTTTGTGATATACTCACAGTTGCGGTTTCCGGATTTCGGCAGGTGGCGATGATGATATGAGGTTTGACAGATTTATTTGTCAGGAACTGTTTGACAAATTCCAAACCGATACCTTTACTAGCTCCTGTGATAAGGACTGAGTAAATTTCCGTCATGATGTCTTCAGATTTATTTTCCAATCCTATCAAATCAGAAGTATTATCAATGCAGAAAATGTTAATTGCCTAAATTTTTAAACATATCAGAACAGAATCCCGCACGATAATATTAGGCATTGAGCCCAACGAATATAATCTGAACTCTAACTCTAGAGGTTAAAAAGTGACATGAATGCCGTTTTCTATGGAAGATACCCCTGATGTACGAATGTTTGTGCTTTTTGCTGCAAAATCTAAATTAAAGTTAACAGCAGACTAACGCAAAAGTTATTCGTTCGATTTGCCTGGTCAAAGGGAATATTTTGCGGTCGCATACCTCCAGCTTTATCGTAGGGTTTAGATTAAGACCAAGGTAGATTTACACAGGTATGGAAAAGTTGAAAATTTTCCATGAGCCTCAGTACGTGTCACGTGACTACGTGACGTAGGTTAAGGGGCCCGTTTTTTAATTAAATTACAATCAAATTAACATTCAAACGTTTGTGCGTTTAAACGTTAAATTTAATATCGCGTTATCAAAATTGTGCAAAAAATCCCACAAAATTTTGACAAACGATAAACCGAACATAATAAATCAAAATAATCAAAACATTCAAAATGGCTGACGTTAAGGGGCCGCTGGAGAGCCAATCAGAGGCCAGTTGTTAAGTTCTGTCCATACCTGTGTAAATCTACCTTGATTAAGACCGATTTTTTGGGAAGAAGGAGCTGAAATATACCACTAGACACAGTGGCTCCGTATGTTGCCATACATTTGAAAAGAAATCAGCATTTCAGAGATTATTTTCGATATCTCGATCTCTTATACTTCTGGTCTAGCTTCACTCCATGTAAAACTCATTCAGTTCAGTTTTCGGGAAAACGAAATATAACACTTGGACCTACCTTTAAGCTAAGATGTGATAATTCTCACGACGCCTGAGTTTGAGGAAATGAAATTGGCATAGAAGGTCTTAAGAAGAGGATGAACTGAAGCTGGTCAAAACTCAATGATCACAAGGCTCGAAGTGCATTAGCCTGAATTCCGCAACATACTTGCGGGTGGAATCGGCGTGAAAGCACCCGAGAAACGGGGTGGTATTTCATTCCGTCAAGAATCAATCGCTTAGACCTAGATATTTCATCATGAAGGAAGCTAATGCACGCAGTTAATAGGGTTTGTGTGAACTGCCATGTGTCGGGGTTGCTACAAGCATTGTTGGTCAATTGAAAGAATGCTTTTCATGCCCGATCCGGGTCGCTGAGTGCCAGTAAATTTCGATGCGTTGGTTTACGCCATAAAAAAGATAAAAGAAATGGTGATAAAAGAAAGTAGCGCCGTTTCACCTTAAAGGTGTTGTAAAATTTTGAATGAGTTTTACGCAATTCCTCTCACTGCTGGTTCTTCTTTGACCTAACATCCGGTTAGCTTGGAATGTCTCTTGCCTCGGACTTTCGCATCCCTGAGAAGACGCTCAGATATGAATTTATTAACAAAGTAGTACATCGTGCTTGAATTGGTGTAACTCTAAAGTAACACCGTCGCTCTTTTTTCAATTAATGGCCACACACCATTTGAGTCGGAACTACAACATGGCATTGACAGAACCAAAACCATCGCTGGTAAAAAAAACCTCTTGGACCAATGCGGCGGTGCATTGACTTAAGAGTGCAGTTCCTTGTCGCCGGATTTAAGAGTCTTGAACTCTTGTTTAAAGCGGATTTTGCATTGAGTAAATTCAAAATCCGCTTGAAACAAGAGTCCAGACACTTAAATCCGGCGACAGGAAACTGCACTCTTGAACCAAGAGGTTTTTTTACCAGTGATAGGGAAAATTGTTGGGCCCGCACACTTGGGCTGAGCAATTTTTTCCAAATGAGTTCCATGTGATGCGGATTGCAAGACCAAGATCAAGGTCGGGGGAGCTTATTGTCTTCAAATCTTTATCTCTGCCTAAATTTCTGGAAGTCAAATAAATAAGTGTTATTTTTTTAACTTTTCGCAGAATGTTCCGTATAAGTAGACAAAAATTGATGACGATTCTTCTGAAAAAATGATGACCAATCTCATGATTCTGTTAAAATATTTCTCAGATCTCTAACAACAAAACAGGAGCCAAAATTTGCGACACTGAAGTAAGAGACGATGATTTACCAGCTCACTAATCATTATTTAGGTGAATCATGCTCAATATCTAAATCTAAGGTTAGATGTTACTCTTATTTGTATACCTAAACATAGGAGAAAAGTAACCAATTGAAACGGGAAGTTTGTAAAATTAGTTAGCTTTTGCTACACCTATCTATTTCTTCATTATTTACAGTTATTGGTTTCTACGCCATGCCACCCTTAACCAAGGACAATTGAAGTACTGAATGATGTGAATCAGGAGCTAAGCAATGCAGATCAATTTTATTACAAGATATTCATGCGTTTGCAAGAGGAAGAGTTCGACTAAGGCTTAAATTTAATTGCCAATGACATCACAAAACAGCATACGAACATGCGTGATCCCATCAGTGCAAGGCAGAGGTTAGTTTAAAGAGGGTTATTCATATAGGCGAAAAATGTACCCAGCCCGGAATGTACGAAACTTTGTGAGCTGATAGTACTAGTTGAGAGAGGCCTATCCCTAGCTCCGTATTTGCAGGAACCCCAGGAAAACAGCGTTGCCATTTTTTAAAGTCGTAACCTTCAAACACCCATAACTTTCGCAGAAATGCAGT